TTGCATAACTAACAGCCAGCAGATATTGAGCAGGTGGTTCTGTCACTCTGTCACATTCCTTATCCCCAGTCTCATTGCACACCCGGGGAAACTGAGGCTCAGAGAGCCACTAGGGCTGCACAGCTGGGAGCAGCAATCCCAGGACTCAGCAAGGCCCCTTCGACTCCAGATAGCATGTTTCCTCCACCAGGTAGGCTGTTTCCAGATCCGTCAGCAACTGTGGAGCACCCAAGCGGGGCGTGGCCTGCAGAGTGTCATCTCAAGGGGCAAGTGGTAAGCTTTTAGAGAGGTGCTTCTCCACCGGACGTATGAAGAAATGGAGGAGGAAGATCAGGGTGAGGCTGGCAGCAGCCTGCCCTGTGGCTCACAAGAGCTTGGTGCCCACACTGCGTGTGCATCAGTAGATGTGGGCCAACAGCTGTGGAAAGCTTGCTTTCTTCACAGATGGTGCATCCAGAAGGCCTTTGTGGCATCAACAATCTCGAAGTGACTGGCCCACCTGGCAGCAGGCCCTGGAGGCCCAGAGTCATCATCCTGGACACTGTCCATTTTCTTTCACCTCCATTTGAGAGAGTGAGGTGTCAGACTAAGGCAGATCTGGATCTGAATCTTATTAGCTCTGCCTCTTATTAGCTGTGCGATCCTGGGCAAGTTACGTAACTTCTTTGGGTCTCTGTTTCTTCACCTGTGGAATGAAGATGATCCTCATAGCCCACCTGGTCTATATAAAAGGCAAAGCAACCCTCCAACTGGTAGCTATGACATGCAATGGCCACCAGGGGGCAGATGCTCCAACCAGTAGCTATGATGTACACTGACCACCAGGAGGCAGATGCTCAATGCAGGAGCTGCCAAGCTGTGGTGAACCGTCCACAATCTGGGCCCCCTCAGGGGATGTGGGAGAGCCAGTCTCACCTGATTCCCCGCAGGCCAGGTGGAGGGACTCCACCTGCGCGAGGCACCCCACTCATTCCACAGATGCCCTTTGAGCCACAGCGCCGCCCCAGGTGCAGCCGGCCAGGGAGGTTGGCTCCAGGACCTGTCTGGCCCTGTCTCACCGAGTCCCGCCCCAGCGGCCACCTTCTAATTAATTGCCTTTCAATGTGCACGAATCTGTGCACCGGGTCACTAGTATTGAAATAATCACTGGAGTTAATATAGGTAAAGCCAGTAGCAACCTTGTCTGGGAGGACCTGGGCACCTGCGCAGACAGGCCTCACTGCACGTAGCAGAAGACTCCCTGAATATAGGACAGCTGGTTGAATTTAGCTCTTAAAACTGCGCAGTAGAATCCTATGTGCTTTGGGGAAGGGTGGGGAGCCGTGGGGGCAGGGATGCCAGAACCTAAAATTGGTTCCTTTGGCAGCTTGGTCTCCGGGTGGGGTTGATGTCTGGGTATGGGACCCTAGGGGTCCAGACAGAAGGAAGGCCCGTGCTCCCTGCCCCTACCCAGGCCAACAGGTGAACAGTGCAGCCAGAATGTTCTCACCCAGAACTAGTAAACTGGGGGCCTACGTCCAGGCTTTCCACCAGGGTAAAGTCTCCTGACACCTGCTGTGCCTCGCCCATCCCCGGATGAGGCCTGCACTCTCACGCTGACCTTGACAGCAGCTTAAGTTCACTCCCGACCTGATTAATTTTGTTTTTTAAATATATTTTATTGATTTTTTACAGAGAGGGAGAGAGAGAGAGTTAAGAAACATTGATGAGAGAGAAACATCGATCAGCCGCCTCCTGCACACCTCCTACTGGGGATGTGCCTGAAACCCAGGTACGTGCCCTTGACTGGAATCAAACCTGGGACCTTTCAGTCCGCAGGCCGACACTCTATCCATTGAGCCAAACTGGTTTTGGCACCGACCTGATTAGTTTGATGTCCGTTTAGCTGCAATAGTGGCTACTATTTTTGTATTCTCTTTTCATTAGTTTCCCACAGGGTTCCAGGGTCGGTGGCTTATATCCTTGGCAATAACGTCTACAAGAGTCGTAGTTCTTGTTCATTTCCTGCTGTTGTTGGATCCTAATTTGGGGCATATAGGGCTCGCTAAAGTTCTCATTCTGTACGTGGTGTTACCACAAATTTTATCTTTGTTAAAATTATTTTTGCTTTTTCATACATTTTCTTGGAAAACAGTGGGTTCCTGCCATGTGCCAGGCGCTGTGCCAACCATGAATAGGACAGTCCCTGCGCTCTCACGGGGGAGACTGACAAAGCAGAAGCCACAGCACAGCGTGGCAGGCTCTCTGTGGTGGTGACTACGGACAAACGGGACCGTGGGGCGGGCGGGGGCACCAACCGGCCCGGAGACCGCTGCGCACACACGGCCAGCTGCTCCGCAAGTGAGCTCTCAGCAGGCTTCTCTTCGTTCAGCCGTTGCAGGGAGCACACGTCCATCTCCAGCCCACCTGTTGGCTTCCTTTTCAAATGTACCTGTTCTTTGTTCAGTGTCTTTTTCTAATACTTTCTATTCTTTATCTTTTTTTATTATTATTTGAAATCTACATTTTCTCCCTTAACGTTTCTTTCAGATGCTCTTTATGTGAAGTTCCCAAGAGTCGTAAGCTTCCTATTTTGGCCATGCACTGTCATGATGGGATGTGTTTTTGAGTGGTTTGTAATTTTTTGGTTGTGAACTTTTTTCTCTCTTGGTGTTCCTATGAGCCCTGGGTTGTGGAACTATAGCCATAGTACAGTTATCTATTTGCTTCTGGTCGGTTTCCTAGGTGTCTAACTGCTTGAACCGACCTATTTTTACTTTAATGCCTTTGCTTAGGGAAATTATTCAATCGCTTAAAAAGAATTTACTGAACATTAACTGCAAGCATATCCCCGTATTTGGTGCCGTGGAAGATACAAAATGATGCAAGGCAATACTCTGTGGCTGCCTTACATGGAACGGTCTGAAAGGACCAAATATACACAAAAAGTTAGGTAGCCATGTAAGGCAGAGTCAATGGCAGGGCTAACAGGGGACCCACGTCAAGGTCAGAAGGAAAAACAGACAGCTGGGGACAATGGGGAGGGAAAGCGAGAGGAGAAAAGGCTTGTGGGAGGAAGTTACAGAACTCTGACTGGTGGGCGGAGAGTTAGCGTGCCGCTGCAATGTTAGCGGAGGCTGTGGGTGAACTTCACTTTAGGGTCCCTGTAGGGGAAAAGCCTCAATCAGGCAAAAGGAGGTCATTTAAAATGCTCCTGGGGTGGGAGGTAGGTTTAATGGAAGTTGTGTTTGAAGGAGAAAACAGAGTAACCTGAAAGGGCTAGGAGGCTTATTATTATTATTATTATTATTATTATTATTATTATTATTATTAAGAGGCTGCCTCCCACATGAAAGTCAACTGGGCGTGTGCCGACTGGGAATCAAACCCAAGACCCTTTGGTGCCAGTGAGGACGCTCCAACCAACTGAGCCACAGTGGCCAGGATGGGCTAGGAGGCTTTGCAGTGATTTAGACCAGAACAAAATTGGGTTAGGGAAGCCAGCGCCAGGAAGAAAGGAAGGGAGGTAGGCTAGCAAGATTGGGATGTGGAAGGTGTTACAGACTCCAAAGCAGCGGTTCTCAACCTGTGGGTCGCGACACATTTGGGGGTCGAACGACCCTTTCATAGGGGTCGTTAAGACCATCGGAAAACACATTTATAATTACATATTGTTTTTGTGATTAATCACTATGCTTTCATTATGTTCAATTTGTGACCAACGACAATAATTTTATGGTTGGGGGTCACCACAACGTGAGGAGCTGTACTAAAGGGTCGCGGCATGAGGAAGGTTGAGAACCACTGCTCCAAAGGTTTCCTTAAACCAGCGGTCGCCAACCTTTCAGACCTCAGGGACCACCGGGTGGCGACCACTGCCAGAGTATGTGCCAGGGTGGCTTTGTAATTAAGGGAGTTGGGAAGGGCAGACTGCTAGAAGGCGGGACTAAATGGTCAGAAGGCGGACGTCTGCTCTAAAGAACTTGCTCACAGTGAACACAGGATAAGGACAGGCGCAGGGCCAGGTCCCCCGCTGCTTTCCTGCAGCCTCTGAGCTACCCGATCCCTCCCGTTCAATCAGAAGCCTTTCTGAGCACCTTCCCGAGCAGCAGGCGGCTCCAGGCGTCCTTGCAGGGGCCGGCACTTGTGGTAATAAACACAGTAGGTCCTCGACTTACTCGGTAACAAGGCTAACGGATATGAACAGGAGGTCAGTTCCTGTGCATCTCATCGACGTTACAACAGAGAGAAATGAAATTGAATATGTTAGTAGAGGACCAGCTACGCCTTCGTCTACCGGTGTTGTGAGGGCTATACTGGAGTTAACATGGTGCAAAGCACCTTAAAATGTGTCCGGCACAAAGCAGGTGCGATTTTAGGGCCAGTTATTACTTCGTTTTTATTAACTGAAGGCACAGGGCCTGCGAGCGCTCACACTGAGCGACGGATGGAAACCCCCGGATCTAGGGAGGGAGACGGGCCAGGAACTTTAAGAGCAAAACCCATTTTCCAACCGTGGGCCCCCAGGGAGGCTCGCGAAGGCTCAAGTGCAAAGGAGGCTGCGGGCGACTGGGTCGGTTCTGGTGGGGGAGGCAACCGGGAGGGCGGTCCGAGCCCGCAGAGCTGTAGCCCGGCAGCCGGAGGCCTCGCAGGCCGTCCGTCCAGGATCCCGGCCGCAGAGCGGCGGACGCACACCTGCAGGGAAAACTCCCGAAGCCCGGACCGCGTTTAGCAACGCCGCAGACCGTATTGGGGGCGTCCGGCTTCTAGAACCGCCAGCCCCGCCCCCGCCGCTCACGGGAACCTCGGGAGAGCGCCCGAGCCAGCGGAGGCCCACCCAGGCCCGGGCCGCCGAGCGCGGCGCCAGCCTACAGCCCGGCCGGAGAGCGGGTCCAGCGCGGACTCCCCGCGCGCCGCCCTCCCGTGATCCCCTGCGGCTCCGCCGCGGCACGGCCCCTGACGTCAGCGAGGGGCGGGGCGCCGCCATCACGTGACGGGGAGTGACCTCGCGGGCCGGCGCCATGGGGGCCTTGGACCCGGAAGTGGCGCCCAGGGCTCGCGGCGGTGCCGCGGGGATGGCGGGAGCCGGAGCAGGAGCCGGAGCGCGCGGCGGAGCGGCGGCGGGGGTGGAGGCCCGGGCTCGCGACCCGCCGCCCGCGCACCGCGCACACCCGCGCCACCCCCGGCCCGCGGCGCAGCCCTCGGCGCGCAGGATGGACGGCGGCTCCGGGGGCTTGGGCTCTGGGGACAACGCCCCGACCACCGAGGCCCTCTTCGTGGCACTGGGCGCGGGCGTGACGGCGCTCAGCCACCCGCTGCTCTACGTGAAACTGCTCATCCAGGTGGGGGCCGGGGGCGCCGTAGGGAGGGGGTGCTCTCGTGAAGGTGACAGGCCTCGATCCGGTCAAATTGGGGCGGGGGGTCGATGGTGACGGGTTTGGGGAGGGGGCGGGGGCCGAGGGTTTGCCGGGCCGCAGGAGCGGGAGCGGAGGACGGCAGGAGGGTTTGGGGTGCAGGGGCACAGGTTGGAGGGTGTGGGAGACGGGGCGAAGGGGTCAGAGCGACATTCGGGGGAGGGTGGAAGGAGCGAGGAGTTCTGGAGGTGCCGGGGGAGGGCGATGGGAGAGAGACGGGTTTCTTTCGGGGGTGAAGGCATGGAGGCGAGAACTTAGAATAGGAAGGAAGGGGTAGATTGGGGGTGAGTGAAAAAGCAACGGATTTGGGGAAGGGGCAGGACGTTTTGGCGAATGGGTGGGAAGGAGAATTGGGGGGCCGAGGCTAAATCTTTAGAAGGTGAGCACATATTTAGGGTGAAGGGAGCAAGAGCTCTGGCCTTGATGGGGATGGATTTAAAGGGACGGATTTAAGACAAAGGACGGGGGGCGGGGGGTCTGGGCCAAAAATTAAGAGCGGAGAAAGGCATCGGACTCCAGGAAGGAGGGCGGGCAGTGGACCTGCCGGGACGGGTTTGGTGGGAGAGGGGGAAGGCGAGGAATTAGCCGGAGGCGGGGCTCCGGATCTGATAGCGACCGAGGATTTGGTGGGAGGAGGGGAACGTAGGGCGACGCAGCGGGGGAGGGGACAGTGGCGTTTTGTCTGGAGAGGGGGAGCGAGGAGGCTTTCAGGGGAAACGATGACGCAGTTGGAGGAGAAAATGGAAGTCGCGGTGGGGGTCGGGAGATGGGACTCAGTCCTCGTAACTCGGGGGGGGGGGGGGGCCATAAAGGGTCGCTGGGACATCAGGTGACAGGATAGAGAGACTGGCAGAAGCCGAGGCCGAGGTAGGGATGTCTGGCACCGTGCCTGCAGGTGCACTGGGTATGCTGGCGCCGGCCAGCAGTGCCTTGCAGAGGAAGCAGGCTCCTTGAGAAAGGGAGGGATTGAGTTGGAAGGAGGCAGGGTGGAGGGGTGCATATTTGGCCGAATTAGGTAGGGGTGACCGAGATAAGGCACTGTTTAGATGGGGGTGGTTCAGGCCTGAAGATTTAGCCTAGAATTTTCCAGTTAAGAAGAGTGGGTTGCCGGAGGGGGGGAGGGGGGATGAGATGGAGACCCAACCAAGATTTGAGGTTTGATTTGAGTTGAGGTGAATGGGTGTCAGATTTACTATCTTTATAATTGTACTGACAGTGGGAGATACCATTGGAATAAGAGAAGTAATTGAAATCAGGCTTGGAGTAGAGGGGATAAAGGGAAGGGGGTAATAGATTTGGAGGGTAGGACCTGACTGTGACATGGTACCCAAGATGTAAAGTAAGGGTACTGGGGGCTGAGTTTTGGCTGCTGGAGTGAGATTGGTGAGGGCTGGGGTTTTAGGGTGGCAGGTAGGAGGATCTGTGGGGTGGAGGATGCTGGAGTGTAGGAATAGGGGGCTCCATGGAAAGGAAGTGCGGAGTAGCTCCATCATTTGGACCATTGTAGATTTGGTTTACAGGTTTGAGAAGAAGCTGAAGTAAGGGTGATTTGAAGAGAGAATTGGGAAAGAGAGAGAAAGGAATTGGGGAGTAAAGGGAGGCTAAACCGTTAGAAGAACTGGATGGTGGGGAGGTGGCCTCTCCAGTTTGAACTCAGCTGGTCCTGAATATAGCATACTTTGGGGTGAAATTTTAATGGGCATAGCCCTGGAATCAGTAATATTTTGTAAAAGGTAGGTACCAGTTTTGGGGGTAACAGGCTTGGAGTGGCAGATTTGGGGTACAAAAGAACGCCGTGCCTAAGATCAGGGCTCGTGGGTGTTAGGTTTCAGGATTTGGAGATTGAAGGGGATGGACTAACTCTGCCAGAATCTGATACAGAGCCACAGCTCTGGATGGGTTCATGGAATTGGGGATGAAATTGGGTAAGTATGACTTGGGCTCAAATAATGAAATTTTGAGGGCAGGGAGAATAAGGGTGAAATATGGCAGTGTGCCTTTGATAACCCAGGTGGAAGTTACAGATATAGACTCAGTAGATTTGGAAGCTATGGGGGCATGAGGCGAAGGGACACAGCAGATTTAGGGATGAAATTGGAATCAATGGGACTCCCAAATTGTTGTGACTAGACTGGATAAGATAGCAAAAGAGCGCAGCTGAGACTTGGAGTAGAGAGGATAAAGGGAATGTTACCTGTGTAAGAGGCAAAAACAAAACCCAGAACCTTTAGGCTTTTAACCCACAAGGGAATGTGTGGGAGGGTTAACTGCCTAGGTCAGCTGGCTCATCCCTGTTCTCCAGCTCCCCTGGGATAGACTTTATTTTTAATATGTAGCTCAGAATCCCATCCATAAGGGACAGCGTGAACTGTCAAAAACCCTAAGGCAACAAAGAAAGGGAATTGACCCAGGAAAGCACTAGAAGCTTACCTTGTTCAGTTTTTAAGGCAGAGCTCCCAACCCTACCGTTTCTGCTTTCCACATTTCAAGAGTTGCTGCTCTGCCTGGTGGCATGGCTCAGTGGTTGAGCGTTGACCTATGAACCAGGAGGTCACAGTTCGATTCCCGGTCACGGCACATGCCCGGGTGCAGGCTTGATCCCCAGTTAGGGGTGTACAGGAGGCAGCTGATCAATGATTCTCTCTCATCATTGATGTTTCTGTGTCTTTCCCTCTCTGAAATCAATAAAAATATATTTATTTGTGGGGGAAAAAGTTGCTGCTCTGGTTCACTGGTCCATGGGCTCAGTTGGCCTGCTTTGAGGGGCAGGGCTGCTGTCCCAGCCCCCTGTCAAGGAAGGAGACTTCTCACACCCCACTTAGGTGCTGGTCTCCCAGACACCCTGCCTCCTGTCTGGCAGCAGAGTCTTTCTCCTCAATTGGCAGCGTAGCAAACAACCTCACCCCTCAGAGACCCCGCTTCCTCATGGGGTGTGGGTGGCTTGGTCCTTCACCCACATGAGGTTAACACACCTAACAGCATCTACACAGCAAAAGTGACCATAGCCCCACAGAAATGCGGGGACATTCTGCCACAAGGATACGGGTGACTGCGATTAGAAAACAGTTGAGGGATTGTTTGAGGAGCAGCTGGGATTTGAGGTGGCAGTCTGCTCTGCCTGAGAGTGAGAGGAACAGATCTGTGGCATCTCCTGTGGGTGCGGTAAGAAATGCGAGTTCTGGGTGACCTTTGGAATGGGCTGCTTGGGGCTGAGCTGTCTGAAGTTTGGGATGAGATTTGGATGTGCTGTGTTTTGGTGTTAACCACATTTAGAATTGAGACGACTGAAGTTTTTAAGCTGGAGATGACAATAAACAGGTTTATTCTGAGATGAGCATGGGATTCAAAGTATATAAAAATCGGGGGTTTTGTCCTGGGGATATCTGGAATTTGGAGGTAACACTGTTGGCGGGTGGGGGTGACTTGGATAGAGGTAGGGTGGTATCTGGGACCAGACATTTCTGTTCATTGGGAGATTCCGGATCCTGATGGTTATAGACACTGATGAAATTTCTTCTGTTTTGATGGGGAAAACATCGACAGGAACAGCATTAGAATTTGTGGGGAAAGACTTAGAGGCCTGGGAAGACGAGAAGCAGTGAGGCTGAGTCAGCAGTGGAATCTGACCTCCCTTTGTATTTGTTGATTCTGAAGGTGGGCCATGAGCCGATGCCCCCCACCGTTGGGACCAATGTGCTGGGGAGGAAGGTCCTCTATCTGCCGAGCTTCTTCACCTACGGTGAGTGCTTCCTGGGCAGGAACGCCCACACCGACACAAAGAAGCATCAAATGGGGAGCAGGCCCAGCTGGCCCTGGGGAGCACATGGACAGCATGGCACCCAGAGTCAGAGCTGGCCTGGAGGAGGGGATCCCAGAGTGTGGCCGGAGGCAGCAGGGTATTGGGGTGAGACCAGGTGAATAATACAGCTTTGGTCCAGCTCCTCTACCTGGCAGCAGGCCAGGAGGGGGAGAGGGGCAGACAGGTGTTCAAGGGAGGAGACAGTCAAGACACTGGTCCCTGTCATCCCTGCTCCCAGGTTGTGCCTGGAATCGGGGGGCGGGGGGAGCAGTGAGGTGTCCTTTTGCCCTCTGAGCAGTCGGCCCTGTTACTAGCTTTTCTGCTTTCCTGCTACTGTAGCAGGAGTCCAGGTTCTTTTTCTTCTTTCTTCGTCCTCTTTCCTTTGTGTTCCCCAGGCATGGAGCCAACTCATTCTGGCATCTCCACCCACTGGGTATAGACCAGTGCATGGTGAATGGCTTTACCTGTGGTGTGCCCTGAGCAGCCGGGTGAGCTGGGGCAGGCAGCCTCACTGCCCTGGCCTGCATTCCTCTCCAGAGTGGCACCAGCATTTTCATGCCTGGCCCTTCACACACCCCTCCCCCTCCTGTCCCAAGGTCTCTCCACCAAGAAGCCCACCTGGCTGCCTCTGCTGCTCATCCCCGGGCCCGTGGGCACCAGCTGCCCAAGATCTTTTCAAGTCCGCCAGCTACCCCTCTCCCAGTCCCCACCCTCACAGGGTGGTCATGCTGGGGACTTTCTTAAAATGTGCCCTTGTTGCCTGATCCCCTTATGCCTCCGCCACCTCTGCTCTTAATCTGTTTGCTCATTCCAGAATGTTCTCTAAAAACCTTTGTTTCTACCGAATAACCTGGGGCTTCGCCTCCTGTCCCCTTTGTTTCACTTCATACACTGCTGGCAGAATCTGAGGTCACGTTTCTCTTTCAGTCTTGCCGCCATGGTGCTGGGCACAGTCTGGTGCCAGTCAGAACGTGTCATTTTGTGGGGAAATGTGTTCTTACTTGTTTTTACTTACAGATTGTCAGTGTGGGGGGCGGGAGATCAGAATGAGGAAGGCACCTCACGGAAGTACAGTGAGGCTGGTGGCACAGTCAGCACTGGGTCTGTGGGAAGCGGGGGTGTGGGCTGCCAGACCCTCCCTGGGGTGTCTCTGTATGGCTAGGCACCCCCCAGCATGCGAGGGACGAGAGGTAGAGCCCAGACCGGCTTTGTTCACCTCGCAGTCATTCCCGGAAGGACTCAGGAGAGGGGTCTTGTCTCACTTTACCGCCTCTTGCAGAGATGAGCTCCCCGCCCCAGTTTACATGGATGGTGTTTTCATCCGGGTGTGGTAGCAGGTGCCCATTGGGTGTTTCCAGACACCACACTGCTCTCCCGTGGGGAGAGGGCTCGGCTCCGTGGATGCCTAGAGCTGTCTGGACAGCGTCTACTCCCCGTCGTGGTGAAGGTGTAATGGGTGAAGGTGTGAGGCAAAGAGCTTCCTGGAGAGAGTTCAGGGACTGCAGAACCCCTGCAGCCAGAGAGCCCCTGGCCCGTGGGGAAGAGAGGGGTCGGGGCTTTGGGCCCAGCATGGCTCTCACTTGTTCATTCTTCATCTCAGAGGTGGGGAAGTAGGGGTCCCTAACTCCTTTTTTGCTGTGGGCAGGTGAATAGAAAGAGGTTGAGTGCCTCACTGGAGATCACACTGGTTTACCCGGCCCCCCGCCCTCTTCCTGACTGGTGCTCCCCTCCCCTCCAACAAACCTTCCTTCTGCCCACTCTGAAGCCAGGCGCCTGTGTCCTCCCCTCCCCGCCCCCTTTCCCCAGCTCTCCCCATCTCAGGAAGCAAGTGTGCAGGTAACAGGTGCTGCGGCCGGAAAGCAGTGGCAGTGGCAGTGGCAGTGACTGCTGGGTGGCAGGTGTGTTGCAGAGAAAAGCCGACAAGCCGGTTCCTGCCACTGTGCGGCACCAGAGAGCTGAAGCCGTGGGTCTGAGGGGAGCATTGTCTGAGATCGTCTGCCAGCTTCCAAGTATTCAGCTTTGTAAAATACAGCGGCTATTTGAACATAGTTTAAAAGTTGATGTTAAAGAAAACAACAAAAATTTAAAAAGCGATCCTTTCAGAGACCCCAGTGAGGAAGCAGGACTCACAGGTGGGCTCTGGCTCCCTGACTGCTGCTGTTTTTTCTGTAAAATAGTTCATGGGGCCTCTGTTTTGGTTACTTCGCCACTTGCATGTCCTTCCCACATTGATTAATAAATGCCACCAGGTGCCAGGTGGGGTCCCCGGGCATGCTCAGCGGACACTCTTGAGCCTCTTCTGGGAGCCCGTCCTTTTTCTTTTTCCTTCCCTTGGGTTGCACACTTTATTGTTGTCTATGGGAACTCTACCTCCTTCCCCCTGAGAAAAACATTTTTTAATGAATAACAGAACTGGTTTCTGGGTTGCAGCACTGAAGTTGCTGAGTTGAAAACTAGAGCTGAGTTTGCCAAGTAGATTTGTAAAAGCTAAAAAAGGAAATATGTGAACTTGTCAGAAATATGTTTTGAAGGCTTTTACACAAAGGAATGGGCTAGAGAAGAAATTGGTGGGGCCTGATTGCTTCCAGGGTCCTGGACGGACCTCCCCTCCGTGACTAGGACTTGGGAGTGGGTGTCTGGGCTGGCGTGACACTGCCACCCCTGCTTCCTTGCAGCCAAGTACATTGTGCAAGTGGATGGGAAGATCGGGCTGTTCCGAGGCCTAAGCCCCCGACTGATGTCCAACGCCCTCTCCACCGTGACCCGGGGCAGCATGAAGAAGGTGAGGCCCGTTGACGTCAGCAGCAGTTGCCAAGGTTCCCCTGAGCTCCCAGCCACCCCAGAGGCAGCCATGTGCACTGCTCCAGCTGCCATCCTCCCCAGACTGGTCGGGCCTCCACCCCAGCACCATAGCCAGGCTCCAAACCCTGGTGGCCCCACACTGACACTCATTGGTTGGGAGGGTTCCTGCCCCACGGTCTTCCCGCTTTCCCACGGCTGTGACACCAGGCGCCAGCCCTGGGGGTCACCTGAGGCTGCTGGCCCAGCCAGCGTCACTGCAGAGAAAGTGGTCGGAGCTGCTCCATGCGCTTTGCCCCGTGAGTTACAGCAAGAGGCTCTGTATTTGCTTGGCCCTCCTTCGTTTTGTCTCAGGTTTTCCCTCCGGATGAGATCGAGCAGGTGTCCAACAAGGACGACATGAAGACCTCTCTGAGGAAGGTGGTGAAGGAGGTGGGTGTTGGAATTGGAGAGGGAGAGGCCCTGGGAGAAGAGTGGGGTTATTTCTCACCGTTGAGTTGGGCAGGTCTTTGAAGAGGCTCAGAGTTGGGTCCTCGTGCTTGCATGGGAGGGGCGACGTGGAAGGCCTGGTGTGGATACTGCAGGGAGCTCCAGAAAGCCTTCAGCTGCTGTGGGGCCTGGCCTGGGACCCAGCAGCACTCCTGGGTGGTGGGCATTGGAGGTGGGCAACAGGTGGGGCCACCTGAGGTAGACTGACCCCATGTGGGGGCTGCAGGGTCTCATGTTGTGCCCCATATGAGCTCTTAGCTCCCCAGGAGTGCCAGTTCCAGAGGCAGGCTGGACTGAGTGGTTGCCAGGGTTCCCCTGACGCCCTCTGCCCTCTTGCAGACCTCCTACGAGATGATGATGCAGTGCGTGTCTCGCATGCTGGCCCACCCCCTGCATGGTGAGCTGCCCCACTGGAGACCACAGCGCAGAATGGGATGGCCCTCGTGGACTAGCTGGGCGGCGGTAGACTTACGGGGAAGGGCGGTGAGGTGGGGGTATTGCGTTGCAACCCCACTGAGGAGAGATTGGCCAGGAGTCCTATCCAGAGGGAGCTGGGGCTCTTCCCCGGTAGAAGGTGGGGTGTCGTGGCCATGGGTGTGCTGGGAAGCCCCCCGCTCTGTGACCCAGGCCGTGATGTGCAGGGGCCGCCCAGTGGGCACCCACAGCTGGCTGCCCTGGGCTCTGTGTGTTTGCGTCGTGTCACCTCTGTGTTTTCTCTTTCCTCAGTCATCTCAATGCGCTGCATGGTTCAGTTTGTGGGACGGGAGGCCAAGTACAGGTGGGTAATTCTTCTTGGGACTGAGAGGCATGGCCATTCCAGTCCCCATTCCGAGTCTACGAGGACAGGCCATGCTGGGCCAGTCACTGCCCCTTCTCTGCTGTGGCTCTAATGTGCTGGCTTCAGGAGAACGTGGTAGTGGCCTCCATCGTCTGTGTCCAGGGGCCTTTTCTCTGTGTCTCTTGTCCGGGCTGCCCGGGACGGGCCTGCCCTGCAGAGAGGTGCTTGGGCGTGGAGTTGGTTTGGATTAGGAGTCCTGGCACCAGAGCTGATTCTGCACTTAGGACTGAGCCAGGGTTTCCTCCTGCCCCCTAGGTTATGGTCCTACGGATTTCTCTACTGTCCTAGCACCTGCTCACTGCTCATTTCCTCCTCTGTCCACTGCAGCTGATTACCAAGTGCTCACTTCCCATCTGCGTGCTGCACTGCGCAGGGGCTGGGGCAGAGGTGTGCTGACACAGCCCTTCCCCCCCAGCATTATCCTGCCCTGCCCCTCAGAGGTTCAATCAGGACAGGAGGCGGATCCTGGAGGCCTGTGACAGGAGGAAACGCCTCTGTTACCCTCTCTAATTCTCGTTTCCTGGGTTCCGTTGATTCTGCTGCTGTTCTGTGGGGTCATGGCCCCAGGAAGCTTGGCTGCTATGGGACCTCATTTTGGGTTCACTAGTGGGAAATTGGCCCATTCCCCTAGACCTGTGGTCTGCAAACCGCGACTCGCGAGCCACATGCGGCTCTTTGGCCCCTGGTGTGTGGCAGTTCCACAAATACCACATGCGGGCACGTACATACAGTGCGATTGAAACTTTGTGACGCATGTGCAGAAGTTGGTATTTTGTGGAAGAGCCACACTGAAGGGGCCAAAGAGCCGCATGTGGCTTGTGAGCTGCGGTTTGCCAAACCGCAGTTTGCCGACCACTGCCCTAGACTGAAATGTGAGCTTGGCAGATGGGAACAGGCGTAGCCGTGCCACTGTTCTGAGGAGAAAGATAGTGGGGCCTGGCAGGGCCGGTGCCCTGGAACCAGCACTAGCCAAGGCTTTGGCTCCCACCGTCCCTTTTTCTCCTGGGCCACTGCCGCCTGAGGCTTTGCAGAACCTCATGTAGGACCGGCCACTTGGCATTGCTAGCCAAGGTCACAGGGGTTGCTCTTGAGCCTGCTTTCCATTTCACACCTAGAAGCCCATCTGGTCTCCTACAGGACATGATGAGTGCTGGTCCCCAGGCTCCTTGCTGGGGAGGGCCAGATGCCTCCCAGGCTGCCTCTGGGTGGTCTGCTGCAGGGCCTCCTGCTGCAGGGCCCTGTGTTTCTCCTCTGCCTTCTGGGAAGGTAATTCTCACCACTTGCCACTCCACCTGCTTCTCTACCGAAAGGTTGTTCAGCCAGAGATAAGTCTAGGGCCAGGCAGAAGTGCCCATCGTGGTGCCGTAGCCCAGGCTGGATTGTTTAGTCCTAAATTCCAGACCCACAGAAATAGTGGTTGCTAACTGCTGAGTTCTGCCCCAGTGCTGGTAGGGTTTCTCCAGTCTCTGAACTGGGTAAGTGCCCCCAAACAAGAGCTGTCATCTCCACTGGGTTCTGCCTGGAAACAGAATCTCCCCTGCCCGTCCTGGCCAGGAGTCGATGGCTCTGAGCAGCGGTGGGGAGGGTGGAGGGTAGAGGAATGGGCTTCTTCGGGTGACTGAGTGACCTCTAGCCCCGTCTTGCTTTCTTCACAGCGGCGTGCTGAGCTCCATTGGGAAGATTTTCAAAGAGGAGGGGTTTCTGGGATTCTTTGTGTACGTGAGTTTATATCTCCAAAGCTGCCCATGGGCATGGCTCTGCTAACAGGCTCACTCAGCCTCTCAGGCCGCAGCTGCTGGCCTCAGTCTAACCCCAGGCCCCGCTCCCGTCTGAGTAGCTGCACTTCACAGCGCGTTTGAGCTACAGATCGTCCAGACCAGAGCTGTGCAGGCTTGTCCAGACCCAGCCCACACAGAGACGGTACTGTTTGTTCAGTGCTGACTGCACTAGCCACCCAGGCCCTGTCCATTTGCCAGGGCTGGGGGTGGGCATGGGGCTGAGCATGAGCCAGGCCATTCTATCGTCCTTGGTTTCTTGGCTGAAAAATGACTGACAGTCTGTGCCATGGACTGAGGACCGAACACTGACAGCATCAGCATTCAGTGATAGCATTTCTGAGTTCTTCATGTCTGACATGTAGGGAATTTCATGTAACAATTCCTGTTTCTAAACCTGGCCCTGCTCAGCCTGTGTGTGTGCAGAGCACCTGCCAGCAGGGCACACGTGCTCCCAAGGACCACAGACCCTCTGCCTTCCTTGTGTCTCACACCTACCTTACTTTACCTGTAAAGAAAACATACCAAAAAGACTATGTTCAGACAGAATAATCCATAGATGGAGCCCCAGAGCCGGGCCTGACAAGTGTCATTTGTTTTGCCTTTTAAGGTCTAGGCAGTGAGTGACATGTATGTACTAAATACGGGCTCTCTATTTACTCATATTGTGGTTGTATAGTTGGTCGGGTGTTTTGATTTATGATCTAAGGTAACCAAGAAACAACTCCGCGTGTGCGCATGTGTGTGGGTGTGTGTCTCATCAGGAGGTGATGTTTGCCCCCAGGGACGTTGGTACTGCCTGGAGACATCTTTTGTTGTCACGGCTGGCATCCAGTAGAGGCCAGGGCTATTGTAAACATCCTGCGATGCAGAGGGCAGCCACAACGAAGGCTTATTCAGCCCTAAATGTCGATAGTGCCAAACTTTGACTTATGTACACACACACTTTTATATATACACCCATGCATATAGGCATATACACGAGCAAATATATGAGTAAATATTTGCCCACGTGACTGGTATATCAGACCTTCAAACACTACACATCACCACCTCTGGCGTTTTGGTTGTTTTAAAATATATTTTTATTGATATCAGAGTGGGGGGGGGAGAGAGAGAGAGAAAGAGAGAAAGATCAGTGATGAGACAGAATCATTGATTGGCTGCCTCCTGCACACCCCCTACTGGGGATCGAGCCCACACCTGGCATGTGCCCTTGACCAGAATCGAACCTGGTCAGTTTGCAGGCTGACACTCTATCCACTGAGCCAAACCAGCTCGGGCACCTCTGGTGTTTGCCACACTCACTGTGTAGTGTTGTTCTGGTGTGTGACTAGGACTCCTGTTGGCCACTTAGCCTTTGGGTTCTCCTCATGTTCACGAGGGTGTGGAGTAGGTGACACACGCAGATGTTACAGTTCTCAGGACGCACCAAAGGGGGCCTGTGGAGAGGCCGCCTGAGCGCAGGTGGAAGCAGCAGGATTAGACATTGCATTCAGGAGGTTCATTTTGTTAATATCCCTCTGAACATAGATGTGTTGCATTTAATTCTTGTGAACTTTTAAAGTATTTTGAGATACGATTTTTAAAAACTCAAAAATCGTAATTCTACTTGCCCTCCCAAGAGATAGTCATTTTTCTGGAAATCTTTTCAAGTCACTCCATATCTAAACAAACATATCTAAATAAGCACATTCAAAACCACCTGCACACGCAGGACCCCCGATCCTCAGCGCTGTATCTGGAGGGAGCCTCCTCTCTGCTCCTCTCCGAGGCCGTCGCTTTAAAAGCTTGTGGAGTTTGCCTGCTTGTGGACATTCCGGGGGAAGACAGCATGCACTGAGCAGTGTTTTGTGAGAGTTGGTTAGGTGTCAAGGCCAGGAGAAAACTACCAACATGTAGGCACTCTCATAATCTGTATTGAAAATTCCAGATATAGCAACATTCACATCTTGAGGCCCAGCTTCTGTGGTTTGAAAACGCTCGTGAAGCCGGAAGCTAATCTGGTATCAGACTGAGCACATAACCCCCAGCCCTGGAGAAAGGAGCCCTCCTGTGTGCATAGCCGCTGGCCCCCGTGGCCCTGCGGGCTTCCTGCCTGAGGCATTGGATGTGCTGACTTTGGAGCTTGGAACATCCCTGCTGCTTCCGGAGGAGCCCCCAGGAAATGCTCCCCTCCCTCCCCGGCTCATCTTTGCTCACCTTGTTTTCTAGTGGCTTAATCCCTCACCTCCTGGGAGATGTGGTTTTCTTGTGGGGCTGTAACCTGCTGGCCCACTTCATCAATGCCTACCTGGTGGATGACAGCGTGAGTGACTCCCCAGGGGGGCTGGGAAACGACCAGAATCCAGGTTCCCAGGTTTGTTGGAACAAGGACTTGTCCATCTTTCTGTGTACCTCTGATGCCCAGGGTCTAGGGCAGACTCGAGGACTCTGGGGTTCTGAGGGCTAGGGAGGGCCTCTGGGGGAGTGGTCTGAGGGAAGACCTCTGTTGTCCCCGGGTCACCTTTGCCTCAGACTGGAAACCTGGAGTTTATGGAGTGCCCGTCCCTGGGCAGCTTTAGAAATAAGACATCCCAGCTTATCCAAGGCTGTGTGAGTTATGACCCAACTAGGGATCAGGAAACAAGATAGACTGACTCCCAGCAACCTTTAACTTCTGCTTAGTGTTTATGCTTTCAAACCCCTTTTGTGAACATTATGACATTTGCTCCTGACAACACCCCATTTGTGAAGGGAGCAGGGCAGGTGTGTCATCCTGCTTCGCAGATAGAGAAGTTGAGACCCAGAGGGAGAAGGGCTCCCCAGAGGCACTTGGCTGGGATCGCCAGGCTGGGACTAGGTCTTTCCCTGTGCCAGGTAGGCGTGCTCTCTCCCTTGAGGTTTTTCACATCAACCAGGAAGGGTGCTATCCAGGAGCACCCCAGTATTGTGTCCACAGTGGCCCACACACCTGCTGTGCACAGACCTCAGCAGTTGGGGCAGGCATGCGGACGCCTTGTCTTTCTAAAAGGCACCAAGAAGAAAGGAGTCTAAGGACCTGATGGCTTGACTGATTCTGTCTGAATCAAGATGAGAGTTGGGGAACAGTGATGGGTGGGGGTTCCTGGTAGCCAGCCATTGTAACAGCAGGGATTGCCAACCCCAGGAAGGAAGGTGAGGGCTTAGGGACCTGTCTGCCAGGATCACTTGGGGGTGGGGGTGGGGGCGGAGGGTGTCATAGTCTCCATGTGTCTGTGTCTGGGCAGTTCTGTGTTTGTCTGGGCATGTGTCTGGCGAGGAGCCCCGCCCCCACTGAGAGCCTCTGCTCAGGGAAATTGTCGGCCTGGGTAGGTGTCTTAGTGGCCTTTCAAAGTGAGCAAATTCACAGGCTCTGCAGAGACCAGCTTCCATCTACAGTTACAGAAGCCATGGCCCTGCCCTTTCTCAGGGGCCTCGTGGGTGGGGGAGCTGCTGCCATCAGAGAGTTTCAGGCTGGGACAGCTGGGGTGGAGGGGGTTAGCCCACTATGATTGCTTCCCTCTAGTCTAGGTGGGCAGGTGTTTGACCAGGGCCTGCTGCATTTAGCCTCCAACAACAGCAGTCAGCTCCACTGAAAGTACTTTTAAGTGCTTTTCTGTGTGGCTTAAAGGCTAAGGTGAAGCTGCCGCTTGGGCAGAGGGCTGAGCAGAACAGTACCCAGGGGTGCAGGGCATCCATCTGGTGGGATGGCCATGCCACAGGCTGTTGAAGGATAGGTAGTCCCCTCTCCTGGGCAAGGTTGAGGTCTGAAGTGGGCAGGAAGCCCAGGCTTCCCCCCATTTTGCTCTAGGACGGATTTTGTGCCTGGGTAGTTCAGGTGGCTGGCTCTTCTAGTCGGCAAGCACTTCCTGAGCACTGTGTGCCAAGCCTCAGACACTGGCCAAGCCCTCGGAGCTCACAGCCCAGTGGGTTGCACAGACCAGCAGCCGGGGATCCCCTTGCCTGGCCTTCACTCCACCGTCCCCAGTGGGGCCACGGGAATCCCTTCATCTGGCTGTCCCACTGCTGCCTCCCAGATCTTCTCTTGGCTCTGCTCCAAGGCCATGAAGCTGCTGGCAGGCCCCGAAAGGAACGCAGTGTGCACAGGGGTGTGTGAGGCCAGCGTGGGTCGGGGTGAAAGGCCAGGACCAGGCAGCGCGGCAGGGATCTGCGTGTGTGGCGTGTGCATCCCGAGGTGTCTGTGGCAAACCGGTCTTCCTTTCTGTCTCCTCAGTTCAGCCAGGCCCTGGCCATCCGCAGCTACACCAAGTTTGTGATGGGGGTAAGTCAAGTCAGCCACCCTTCCCACTGCCCCATGGGCCTGGGAGGGGCTTGGGAGGGCGGCTCTGGTGGTGGCTGGGGGCCGGCTGTGGTATAGGATGTTGGCACAGTGTGCCCCGGCTCCCTGGGCCCAGGGGGCTGGCGAGTGGTCACTGACGCGCAGGTCTCCCTGGGTTTCAGATTGCAGTGAGCATGCTGACCTACCCCTTCCTGCTGGTCGGTGACCTCATGGCTGTGAACAACTGTGGGTAGGTGTGCGCCCCTCCACCAGGCACTCTGCCAAGGCTGCTGGGGGCACCCAGCTGAGCCCATCCAGCGCTCTGCCCCCTCCCATCTGGGCCTGACATCCGCCTGGCACCCTGGCTCCTCTGGGTTCACCACACCCTTTGGGGTGACTGGTTCAGATGTGGGTAGCGGCAGTTCCAGGCCTTTCCTTGGTGATCACCTCCCGGGCTCTCTGGGTCTAACATGCTCCCCTCCCTGGCAGGCTGCAGGCCGGGCTCCCTCCCTACTCCCCCGTGTTCAAGTCCTGGATTCACTGCTGGAAGTACCTGAGCATGCAGGTGAGCTCTGTGGGTGCTTCACTGCGTGGAAAGATAAGGGGTTGCCATGGAATCCAGGGTTTGAGGAGGATAAAGAGAATGTAAATGTAGACTTGGTTTAAGGCATTTAAATTGACTTTTCACTTCATTTGAGGATTTGAGGTAGTTAGATCTGAGCTCACTTAAAAATTTACATCAGAAAAAGTCCCCTTTTCTTCAGCTCTTAGAGACTCTAGATCAAGTGTGAGGGGCCCCGGGGAGGCGGCACACACCGTCTGACCCCTCGATGAGACGCTGGAGATGGAGCCGTGGGGTTGGGCCACGAGCCCTCCCGCTGGACGCCCTGGTGCCCAGGAGAGCCTGAGGGTGGACCTGGGCCACGTGCTGAGCCTGGTGAGGGGGCAGGCTTTGGGTTTGGTGTTGCCCCAGTGCCTTCCTACTGGCTGGAGCCCTTGGGCCCCCAAGTCAAGGCTCCTGGTGTCTAGGGCAGATCCTTGCCTTCCTACCCTGGATTTGCCTTGTGAATGGGGCAGTGCCTGGGGAGAGGCCGTGCACAGGCTGACCTCGGGTCAGCGAGAGGACAGATGGGAGTGGGGAGGGAGGCCAGAGCCGGGTGCAGTTCTTCCCAGTGACCCAGTGCGTTCCCTGTGCGTCACGTCCTGTGGGGAGTGGAGGAGCCCTGGACCAGTTGGGCTCTGAAGCCAGAGGATGCTCCTCTTTGGGGGGTGCCGACTCAGTAGCCCATCAACAGTGGACACCCTGTGGCATGAAGTGGCCAGTGAACCACTTCAGCACAGGGCAGGTTGTGACCTTGCCCTTCAGGAATGCAGCCTCGGCCCTGAGCTCTGAGCTGCTGGGCCCTTCTTTGCCTCACACTGGCCTTGTTTGGGGCAGGATGTGAAAGACGACCTCCCCCTCACTGACCCGACTGTTCCTTCCCATCCAGGGCCAGCTCTTCCGCGGCTCCAGCCTCCTTTTCCGCCGGGTGTCATCAGGATCGTCCTTTGCCCTGGAGTAACCCGAATCACTAAAAGCCGAGGCTCAGCCTGGCCCTCAGCCTGGCCCCCGCCGGTGGGGCCTGACCAGCTCGGGCCCTTGTAAGACGACTCCAACCCAGCAACACCTAGATGTGCTGCAGCCCAGCTGGGCTTCGGCGTCCATGTTTGCCCTGTGTCTGTCTAGAAGCGGGGTTGAGTGGGGTGAGGCTGCACCCAGGGCCCGGTCACCTGTTAGGCCTGGGGAGGTGGGGCGGGGCTGGAGAGCAGGGCAGCATCCCCTTGCTTCACACTTGTACCAGGCCTGCTTGTTGCGGGCCAGAAGGCTGCAGAGGCCCAGGTCGGATGGGAAACGGCTCTTGAGGTCAGGTCCCACCCCACTCACCCCAGTCAGCCCCTGCTCCCCCTGCAGCTCAGCTGGGAGCACCGCTCTCCTGCTTGTAAATAGGGCGTGATCCCCCGCCATGAGGCCACCCACCGTCATGCCCAGGCCTGTGCTAGAAGCTGTGGCTGATTCTGCCTTTGTTTTCTCAACACTACTTCCCGATGGGAAGGCAGCACCTTCTGAAAGGGAAATCACGTGGCTGCTCAGAATGAGTCCCTCATCGAATGCGCACCTGCTTAATGGTGACGGCGTGTGCGGGATCTGGTTCCCTGTGCACTTGTGAACACTCAGAAGTTAGGCAGGTCAGTGCCTCTAGTCCTACCCAGTTTAAAAGTCCCTGATACGATTGGACCGTTTCTTCCTCAAATAAATGTACTGGTGGTGATTTGGAGTTTTGTGGGGAGTCTCTTACTTGGATCTTTCTCAGTTCTTGGGGTATGTGTGGACGTGCTATAGAGCGGCAGGGCTGAGGCGGCGCTGCCTGGGATGAGAAGTGCCAGGCATGGTGTAGGTTGGCCACCTGGGGCGGTGGGGCGGGGTGGAGATGGGGGACCTTTTCTGAATCAGACCGGCCAAGATGCCGTTCACAGATCAACAAGTGGTGTGTAGGCCTGTCACTAGGGAGACGGTCCTAAAGGCTTCCCAGCTTCCAAAGGTGTTCCTCCCAAACCCCTGACTCATCTCCGCACCAGCTGTGGGTGGCGTTTGCAGTTTTTACTGAGTCGTTTGGTGTAGTGGTCACATGGTGACAGCAGAAGGGGCAACATGGGCCCAGCTGAAGCGCCAGGCCCTGTCTCTTCCGTTCACTTCTGCCCAGCGCCGGGGTCTGGCGACAGGCAGAACTTACAAATGGGCGGTCCTGGCCTAGACCCTGGACTTGCTTCCATCTGCTGGAGTTTGAATGCCAGGGGTGGACTGGCCTGTTTCCTCCGTGTTTCTTGCCCTTGCTCTGGCCTTGTGGGCTGGTGACTTTGGTCATGTCCTCACAGGTGTGGGCAGGTCACCCCCAGGGAAGGCCCTGGGGTGCTTTTGCAGGACTGGTGTTCCCCAGTGGCCTAGTCACAGTTGGCTGGAGAGCAGTTTATTATGGATCCTTGTTCCCCAAGAAGACAGGCCTCAGTGGGTGTCCTGACTCACTTGAGATGCTAACTGTAGCAGGGAAGGGGAGCATGTGGCCGGGTGAGGGCCCCCTTCCCCCTCCGCGGCATCATTTCTTTAGAGAAGGCAGGTCCTTTGGGGGTGAGTCTGCCTCAGGCATGTGTCTTTCTCCAGCCCAGTGTTGGTTTCCCACAGCACTGGCCCCGGTTTGGGATACCTTCTCCTCCTGTCTCCCACATCCAAACCTGCCTTGCACTGCTTACTTCTCATGGTCCCCAGATGTAGTGCCACTTGCACCTGTGGAATCCTGTGCTGTGCTGGCCCTGAGGGCCCCTTCCTCCCTGACGGGGAGAGGCCGCCTGGAGCTGGAGCGGGCCTGGTGGGCTGGCAGGACCTTGAGGAGAGCCCGCTGTTCCAGGTAACACCCTGGGATCCTGAATTTCGGGGTCTCGCCATTTCCCAGGCTCTCTTCCACACCCAGAAATGCCTAGAAAACACCTGTTGAGACTCTATTGGTAATTGAGCAGAGCCCAGGTTTTACCTCTGACGTCTACAGCAAGTTTTCACTTCAATATTCAGATGCGTGTGTGTGTGTGTGTGTATTAAATGTTCCCTTTGCTCCCTGGGCCCTCTGAGCACCTGGCACGTTCCCTGGCAGTCCAGGAAATAGAGTGGCAAGGTCCCCATCTGAGAGGAGGTAGGTTGTGTTGGGGCAGGAGGGAAGCTGAGCTGTGGGCAGAAGGAGGGGCGACCGATCCGGAATGCTGTGGGAGCCAGTCACCATCCCCCCTCCAGGGACACTCAATTCTGATGGACAGAGCTGGGAAGCCTGTGACCGGGACCCCCTGTGGTAAAGCCTGAGGTGCAGTGGACGCCTGTGCTGGGCCCCTGCAGTGGTCACTGCTGCTGGGCCAGCCCCCAGGAGCCCTGCAGCAGAGCACTGGCGCCGGCCCCTCCCACCCTCTGCACATGCCCTCTATCCGCACGAGCTTCCAAAGAGGCCCCTGCCCCTGGCCTGGGGTAGGTTCTCTCATGTGACAGTCTTCCTGAGGGTGTTCTTCGAGGAGGCAGGCACAGTCCATTCAAAACTAGGAAAGATGGGTTTGGGCTGCCATAGTTCCGCTCTGCCCAGAGGCTACCACAGCTGAGCACCTCATGGGACCCAGGAGGCAGCATGAGAAAACACCCTCTGGAATAAGTTGGATCAACATCTGAAAATCAATGTACTACACTCTTATCCACAAAACAAGGGACAAAAGCCAAAGGATCATTTCAGTAGACACAAAAAGTATGTGGCAGAATTCACACCCTTCATGATAAAAACATCCAAAAACTGAAGAATAGAGAACTTCCTCACCCTAGTTAATGATGTATCCTGATAAGTAGAAAACCCCACAAATAACACGGAATGGGGAGAGACCTAATGTTTTCCCCCAAAGATCATGACGAAGAAAGGGATGTCTGCTCTTGCCACTGCTCAGTGCACTGGAGGGACTAGCCAGGGCAATAGGGCAAGGAAAAAGGATCAGGACGGAAGAAGAAAAACTGTAGATGACATGATCTTGTATATAAAAAATCCTAAGGCCCTGGCCTGTGTGGCTCAGTAGTTGAGCCTTGTCCCATGTACTAAGAGTTTGCTGGTTGGGTTCCCAGTCAGGACACATGCCCTGGTTGCGGGCTTGATGCCCAGTAAGGGGCGTGCAGGAAGCAGCCAATCAATGTTTCTCATCAATGTTTCTCTCTCTCTCCTTCTCCTTCCTCTCTCTGAAATCAATAAAAACATATATATTTTTTAAATACTAAGGAATCCACTAAAAATGCTTCTATAATAAGTGAATTCAGCAAAGGCATAGGATTCAAGATCAATTGTATTTCTATACACTTGCAATTGGACAAAGTAGAAATGAAGAATTTTACTTACAATAGCATCAGAAGTAACAAAGTACTTGTGAACAAATTTAACAAAAGAATTGAAAAACTTACACTTTGAAAACTATAAAACATTGTTGAAAGAAATTAAAGAAGAACTAAATGAATGGAAAGACATCCCATGCTCATGGATTGGAAGACCTATCATAGTTAAGATGGCAGATTACACACATCCTGTTAATATCTCAACTGACTTCTTTGCAGAAATTTGAGAAGCTGGTCCTAAAATTAAAGGGGCTTAGAATAGACTAAACAATCTTGGAAAAAGACAAAGTTGGAGGACTTGCTCTCCCTAATTACAAAACTTACTACAAAGCTACAGTAGTCAATGTGGTGTGGTACTGGCATAAAGATAGACATGTAGACCAATGGAAGAAGATTAAGAATTCAGAAATAAACATTCAACTTTATGAGCAACTGATTTTTGATAGAGTAATGATAATTAGATGGGGGAGAATAATCTTCAACAAAAGATGCTGGAATAACTGGACATGTACATACATAAGAATGAAGTTGGATTCCCATTTCATACCACATACAAAGATGAACTAAAAACGTATCAAATATTTAAACATATAAAACTGTTAGAAGAAAACAGGGATAAGTCTTTGTGACCTAGGATTAGGCACTGGTTTCTTAGCTATAACATCAAAAAGCACAAACAACAAATAAAGTGATACATTGGGCATTATCAAAATTTTAAAATGTGTTCAAAGGATATCATCAACAAAACTTGAAAAGACAACCCACAGAATGAGAGAAAATGTTTGCAAATCATGTATCCGATAAGGGACTTGTGTCTAGAACATGGAGGGAATTCCTACAACTCAATAATGGAAAGAATACCGACCCCAGTTTTCTAAAATGGACGAAAGATCGAATAGACTTTCCAATAAGCACATGGGAAGACGCTCAGCATCATTAGTCATCGAGGAAATGAAAACCGAAACCACAGTGCGATACCGCTGCACACGCACTAGGATGCTGTGATAAAAGAGACAGATATTAACAAGTGTTGGTTAAGATGTGGAGAAATTAAAACTCTAACACATTGCTGGTACAAATGTAAAATTGTGCAGCTCCTTTGGAAAATAGTCTGGCAGTTCCTCAAAAAGTTAAACATAGCCTCACCCTGGCTGGTTTGGTTCAGTGGTTAGAATGTTGGCCCTAGAACCGAAGGGTCTCGGGTTCGCTTCCTGGTCATGGGCACATCCTAGATTGCAGTTTGCTCCCCACCCCTGGTCAGGGCTGTGTAGGAGGCAACCAATCAATGTGTCTCTCATGTCAATGTTCCCCCTTTTTCCCTTCCACTCTTCCTAAAAATCAATAGAAAAAATATCCTCGAGTTAGGATTAAAGAGTAATAATAATAATAATAAACATATCTTCACCTTAACCGGTTTGGCTCAGTGGATAGAGCATCGGCCTGCACACTGAAGAGTCCCAGGTACGATTCCGGTCAAGGGCATGTACCTTGGTTGCAGGCTCTATCCCCAGTGGGGGTTGTGCAGGAGGCAGCTGATCGATGTTTCTCTCTCATTGATGTTTCTAACTCTCTATCCCTCTCCCTTCCTCTCTGTACAAATCAATAAACTATATTAAAAACAAAAAAAAATATCCTCAAAATATTAAACATAGAACTGCCATGTGATCCAGCAATTCCACTTCTGGGAATATATCCAAAGGAAATGAAAACACTAACTTGAAAAGATATTTGCACCCCCATGTATATAGCAGCATTGTTCACAACTAGAGGCTAGGTCCCTGCAGGTCAGGCCAAGGGACCCCACCGATGCACAAATCCATGCATGGGGTCTCTAGTATGCATATAAGATATTTGGTTAATCTCTTCCTGCCCTCCCCACTTCCCTCTGAGATTCCATCAGTCTGTTCCATGTTTCCATGCCTTTGTGTTGAGCATCTGCCCCCTGGTGATCAGTGCATGTCATAGCGAATGGTCAAACGGTCACCTAGGCTTTTATATATAGAGACTAGAGGCCCGGTGCACAAACATTTGTGCACTCGGGGGGGGGGGGGAGGGAGCTCCCTCAGCCCGGCCTGTGCCCTCTCACAGTCTGGGACCCCTCGGGAGATAACGACCTGCTGGCTTAGGCCTGCTCCTGGGTGGCAGAGGGCAGGCCCAATTCCTAGGTGCAGCCCCTGGTCGGGCTCAGAGCAGGGCTGATTGGGGAGTTGGGGTGCCGCCCCCTGTCATGCACAGAGCAGGGCAGATCGGGAGGTTGCGATGCCACCCTCAGTCATGCTCAGGGTAGGGCCGATTGGGGGGTTGGGGCACTGCCCCCTGTTACTCACAGAGCAGGGCCCATCAGGGTTGGGGAGCTCCCCCCTGTCACTCACAGAGTAGGGCTGTTAGGGGAGTTGGGGCACCGTCCCCTGTCACACACAGAGCAGGGCAGATCAGGGGGTTGGGGCGCTGCACCCTGTCACACTCAGGGCAGAGCCAATGGGGAGGTTATGGCTCTACCCCATTGCACACAGAGCAGGGCCCATGGGGGACGGTTGGGGCGCCACCCGCTATCACCCACAGAGCAGGGCTGATCAGGGGGTTGGGGCACCACCACTGTCACACTCAGGGCAGGGCCGATGGGGAGGTTATGGCTCTACCCCGTCACACACAGAGCAGGGCCCGTGGGGGGGGCGGGTTGGGGTGCCGCACCCTGTCACACACAGAGCCGCAGGGCGATCAGGGGGTTGGGGCGCCTTCCCCTGTCACGAACAGAGCAGGGTGGATAGGGAGGTTGTTGCTCCGCCCCCTGTCACACACAGCCGCAGGGCGATCAGGGGGTTTGGGCGCTGCCCCCTGTCATGCTGATCCCAGTGCCAGGAGGCATATTACCCTTTTACTATATAGGATAGAGGCCTGGTGCACTGGTGGGGGCCGGCTGGTTTGCCCTGAAGGGTGTTCTGGATCAGGGTGGGGGTCCCCTTTGGGGTGCCTGGCCAGCCTGGATGAGGGGATGATGGCTGTTTGCAGCTGGTCACACACCCTTCAGTGTGGGGGTCCCCACTGGGGTGACTGGCCAGTCTGGGCGAGGGGCTGAGGGCTGTTTTCAGGCTGGCGGGTGACTGAAGCTCCCAACCGCGCCTTTTTTTCTTTTTTATTCTGGGCCAGCTTTAGCTCTGAGGCTTGGCTCCAGCTCTTAGGCCTCCGCTGCTGAAAGCAGGTATTTCGTTTGTTTGGGTTCTATAATCGAAACACTGTTTCAACTCCAGCTCTGAGATCCCGGCTGGCTGAAAGCAGGTTTCTGGGGTTTTGTTTACCTTCTATATTTGTAACAATGTTTCAAACTGAAAGCTCAGAGGCCGGCAGCGGCAGGCGGGGAACGTTGGAGTCCTCCGTCACTGAAGCAAGCAAGCTTCATGTTCGCTTCAAGCTGCCTGGCTGCTGGCCGCCATCTTGGCTGGCAGTTAATTTGCATATTGCCCTGATTAGCCAATGGGAAGGGTAGCGGAGGTATGGCTAATTACCATGTTTCTCTTTTATTAGATAGGATAGCCAACACATGGAAACAACCTGAGTGTACACCCATGGATGAAGGATAAGGGAGATTTGGTATATTTATACAATGGAATATTATTCAGCCATAAACATGAGGAAATCCTACCATTGGCAACATACATGGACCTTAAAGGCTAAGTGAAATGAGTCAGGGAAAGACAAATACTGTATGATCTCACTTATATGTGGAATCTTTAAAAAACCCAAACAGGAAAAGATGAGGCTTGTAGTGACCAGGCAGAGGGTTGGGGGAGGAGAAATTGGAGGAAGGTGGTCAAAAGGTGCAAACTTCCAGTTTTAAGGTAAGTACCAGAGATGTAATGTACAAGATGATGACTGTAGCTAACACTGCTGTAGGTAGGCATATAGGAAAATTATTAAGAGAGTGAACTGTAAGAATTCTCACAAGAAGAAAATTTTTTTCTTTCCTATTATAAGAGGGATGTTAGCTAAACCTATTGTGGTGATTACTTCACAATATATGTAAATCAAACCATCGTGCAGTATGCTTTAACCCTTTTTGGTCCAACGTCGAGGCTGAGGTCGACACCGCAAACTAGTTCAACATTCAATCCCGTCAATTAATTTGGTCCAGACTGTTTGAATTCCAAAAATAAAATTGGACCGCCAAGGTTTAAATTTATACAGAGATGTATGTCAATTATCCTATATAATAGAAGGGTAATATGCAAATAGACCAAACTGCAGAATAACAGAACAATCAATCGAAGCATAATATGCCAATGATATGGTAAGGCTGCTGACCACCAGGGGGCAGACAGTCAACTGGTCGACCAGTCGCTATGACATGCACTGACCACCAGGGGGCAGATGCTCCAACCAGTAGGCTAGCTTGCTTCTGGGGTCTGGCCAATCAGGACTGAGTGAGATAGGCTGGACACACCCTGGAGCCCTCCCTGGCCTGATCTCCCTGGCCTGATCGTGCACCAGTGGGGCCCTTCAGCCTGTCCTGTGCCCTCTCACAATCCAGGACCCCTCCTGGGATGTTGGAGGGCCTGTTTCAGCCTGATCCCGCAGGCCACTCCCCTTGGGAGGGCGCCAGACGCAGGGCTCATGGCTGGTGAGCGCTGCTATGGCAGCACGAGCTTCTCCAGATCGGGACTGATTGGGCACGAGCCCGCAGCAGGCACAGTGGGGCCAGGATGAGTGGGAGCGGCAGGTAGGAGCTGCAGGCGGTGTTGGACTGCAGGTTTTAGCCTGATCCCTACAGGCCTCCCAGAGGGACCCCACCACCCATGCATGAATTTGTGCACTGGGCCTCTAGTTTCTCAATAAAACTTGGCAGGGGCGGGGGGGGGGGGGTGGGAGTTAAACATAAGAGTTACCATATGATCCAGAGTTAACATATGATACCACTTTTAGGTATATATCCAAGAGAAATGAAAAATGTACAGGAATGTTTATAGCAGTATGATTATAATAGCCCCCAACTGGAAACAACTGAAGCGTCCACTACCTGATGGGTGGGTAAATAAGACGCATTTCATACAATGGAATTTTACTTGGTAATAAAAAAGGATGACGTACTGTACTGCTCTATTCTACACATGGAGGAATCCTGAAAACATTATGCTACGTGAAAAGGCCAGATCAAAAGGCCATGTGGCATATGATTCTGTTTATACAAAATGTCCAGAATAGGCAAGTCCATAGAGACAATAGATTAGTGGTGCATTAGGAGTGGGGGAAGGGGGCTTGGAGGGAAAGTGGACGTGATTGCCAACGGGTGTGGGGTTTCTTGTAGGGTGATAAATATATTCTAAAGTTGACCTTGGTGATGGCTGCACAACCCTGTGAATGCACTTAAAACCATTGAGTGGTACAATTGAAATGAGTGAATTTTATGTTATGTGAGTTATATCTTAATAGAGATACACTCTGGCATATTTTTATACTTATGTGAAAGGCAGGCATTTGTGGCCTGACTTGCATGCTTCCTGTTTAACTGTGGACACTGGCTTTGGCCTGGAGACAGTCGCTCTGCCCCTCACCGACACCAGCTTGGCATCCAGTCGCCCTCAGCCGCCTACTGTTGCTGGCCCTGCACACACACTTGCCCGCCTAGTATGGCTTTCCTGCCTCACTGCACTTCTGCACGATCTTGTTGTGCTCCCCGGGCAGTGTCTGGGACTCGGCCTTTCTCAGGACTCCTCCAACCACCAGGGCTTGGCATGAGCTCCCTTTCTGACCTTGTGTCCCAGAGGGGCTGGTAGCAGCCCCCCGAGAAGAGGTTGCATGGCACTCCTTGACCCCGGGCACAGAGCCCCACTTGGCCCCACTGGTGAATCCTGGAGCTGGAGAGTCAGCCCAGTGCCCTTGGCCCCTTACCCTCCTGCCAGCAACATGAAGATTTGAGGGGGTGCCGATATGAAAGAAAGGCAGGGTGCCCCAAAGGACAAAACGGAGTATTTGGGGGTAGAGGGGTGTGAAAGAACAGGTGCCACAGGTTGGTAGGGGAGGTGTTGAGCCTCCTCAGGGACACCTGCCCTCGCAAGCATGGAGACGATACTCTTACACAGGCTTTTATTAGGAGTCAGGGGCTGCTTCCCTCTCCTGGTCTCTGCCTGCCCCACCCATAACACCCCACCAGGTGGGGCTGGTCCATCTGCCCCTCACACCCACCCCACCCCCGCCAGCTACACAGCAAGTAGGAAGAGGAAGGCTCTCTGGGAGAACGCCTTCCTGGAAGAGGCAGTCAACCCAGACCAGGCAGGCGGGGATCTCCCCAGAATCCCCCCTCACCCCTGGACTGACATCAGAGGGGTCCAGGTCAGATATGCAGTCATCGGGCGGCAACCTGAGCTCACTGGCAGCCAGGCAAGATGTCTGGGTGAGGCGCATGCCCTGCAGCCTTCCCTTCCAGAGGGCTATCAGCCAAGAAGCATTCTATCTGGGGGGCTGGGGACAGGGTGGGGGAGATGGCAGAAGGGCAGCTGACCTCCTCAGCCTGGGAAGGCAGGAGGCACACCTGGGAATAGCCTGGGACTCAGATGCCTCCAGGAAGAAGCCAGGGGTCTGGGAAGGGCCAAGGGGTTCCTGGAGAGCCCCGAGATCTTCTGTCCCTAGAAGTTCATGGCCCCGGCCACGGGAACACTGCTCAGTCTGCATAGCTGAGGGGCGGGCCACCCCGGGGCAGGGGCACTCCTGGGACAGTGCCAGAAGCTGGGTTGGAGGTGGCTGCTGGGCCACAGAGCAGGACCTGCCTGGGAAGATGTGGCCTCTTACTTGGAGAAGGAGGATCCAGAGCAGGCATGAGGCCAGGTCCCCGCACCAGGCCTCGCCTTTGAGTAGTGACCTCTCAGAAGATTCCAGCCAACACCAGGGGAGGCAGTAGCAACAGAGCCAGCAGAGGGCCCCAGATGTGACCAGGGCCCGAGCTCAGCCCTGAATGGACTTCAGGCCCTTCAGGGTCCTCTGCACCTAGAGGAAGGGAAAAGGTTTGCCTCGGCCTGGAGGCCGCTCTGCCTGACCTCCTACCCACCCCACCACGCATGCAGGTGGGGCCCAGCAGCCAGGAGGCAGCTCCTATTCGGAGGGGACATGTCCCTCCTGGTGACAATCTGGACTCCGGAAGGAAGGTAGGATGGACACTACAGGCCTTACCTGGCAAGGACGACCGCAGGGCCAGGGTTCGCCCGCCCAGGGCATTAGCTGTGGCAGATGTATTGGGAAAGTTGGGCAGGGACTTGGAGAAGATGTGCCCGCTGTGTTCCCGCGTGGCCTGCCGCTCATCTGGCTCCTCCTGGGCTGGAAAAGCTGAGGCCAAGACCTCGCTGGACGAAGGCAACTTGGCCTCAGCCTTGCCCTCCTCCTGGGAGTGGGGTGGCAGCCCTTGTGTCCCTGTCGGGGACACCTGGAGGTGCAGAGACTTCTCTGGGCTCTTGGAGGGCGTGCTTGTCTTGCTGGCCTCTTGGTCTATCCCTTTTGGGATGGGATCATGGGTCGCTCTGGGGGAGGTAGCTCTTCCCTCACCCACGGAGAGCGGGCTGTGAGTTTCCAAAAACGAAGGGAACTCAGTTGGGAAGGACGGTGGAGCCTCAGTTGTCGTGGAGGATGGGCCTTCCGTTGCTAAGGAAGATGGGGCCTTGGTCTCTACAGTAGGTAGAGCCGTGGTTGCCAGGGAGCCTGAGACCTCTGTTACCAAGAAGGATGGAGTTTCTGTTGCCAGGGAAGAGGAGATCCCCCCTTTCCTTGAGCCTGAGGTTTCAGTTGCCAGGGAAGGTGGGGCCTCTACATCTTCCAGGTGAGGCACCTCCTGACCCTCCTCTGGGAAGCTCATGGGTTCTGCTAAGAGAGACAAGGCCTGGCATTAGTGCTCCAAGCGGGACCCGTATTCCTTTGATAATAAATTCTACTTCACAGTTGCTCTTCCACCACCTCCTTGTCCAAGACTTCCTCTCTCTGCACTCGCCTTTCCAGTTTTCAGCTGGATCCCAGCTCCTAACACGCCCACCGATCACCCCGCCCACCTGGCTTTTCCCATCTGCCCCCCTCCCCTTCCTTATGGGGCGTTACCCTCTGCTGCAAGGGTTGAAATCCATTCACTTGGAATGAGAAGGCGTCAAAATGGCTGTGCAAGGAGGGCAAAACGGGCTTGGGAACCTGGGTGGGGTGGGCCTGCGAGGGCCCCTGGAGGTCGTGTCCCGCTGGGCCCCTCCCCAGTCCAGGCACTGCTCAGAGCTCCACCTTCCCTCTCCCTCCCCACCCCATCCCGGACTCACCACAGAGGGAATTCTCACAGCGGTACCCCGGGAAACATTGGGAACACGGAGTCCCCTCCTCGTAGGGCCTCCTCCCCCTCACGTTCCCCCTGCAGGAGGCGAGGAGGATGCTGGGGGTTGGGGGTCCCTCGCAACCCTAGCCCTTAAACACACACCTAGACCGGAAGTGCCCCAACCCATTGGCTGGATCAATGAGAGCAGACTTACAGGTGCCCTCACAGCTCCCCCAGGGGCAGATAGGGCCTGGGCTCCAGATACCCCCACCCACCTCCTTAGACTGCGTCCAACCCAGCCTTCCGATTGGCCCTGTCCACCCGAACGGCTCCCTGGGACTCACGGGGGCTCATAGTTGCAAACCAGTAAATGGACATTGGTCTCCTCAACGCCCTGGAGCTTCTCACAGAAGTGGGAGCCACAGCCAATCCTGTCTGTCATGGCCCAGACCACCTGAAGGAGGGCAAAACCAGCAGTTTAGCGTGGACGGAGCGGCCCCTGGCTGGTGCCTCTCTGACCAGCCTCTGCAGGTGGGGAGAGGAGCAACCCTGCAGCCAGTAAGATCCAGGCCCCTGATGACATGCAGCTTAAGGACAAATCTCTGAGCACGGGGCCAGGGTAGGGTGGGGTGGTGGGCTTGTCCTGAACAGACGACTCCCCTGCCAGCCACTGTCTCACCAGGCCTCTCTCCCTCTGAAAACCACCCCTTTGGATATGCCCCCGTGAATGCTTCCTGCGGGCTGTTCCCAGGGGCTCTTGCTTTTTAACAAGGGGTCTATCCAAAGGAATTCATTTCTAATGGGAGAATCTTATCTCAGCAACAAGCAAACTCCAAGGAAAGAAACAGGAGAAGCCACCTGGGAAGTGGGACTTGTCCACATCACAAGGAAACAGGGGCCTGCCGTCTCTGAGTACGGGCCTCCTGGCTGCTGGGAGTCAAAACAGTCTTCCTGCACCACCGTGGGCGGAGCCCGGTAGCTCCCCTCGCTATGTCTCAGCCTCGTCTGCCCAGGAGCCTCGCAAACTGGCCGGTTTTTGCTGTGAGTTCTGGCTCTGCCTGTGGATTCTGCACAGTCCCCCTCCCCCCGCCCCAGGACGGGGGTCTTTGCTTAAATCAGCTGAAGGTCCCCCAGGTACCACTGCTGAGCATCTCCCAGGCAGAAATGAGCAAGTGCACGTGCACTCAGCCCCGGAGAACGCTGGGGTGAGGCGGGGCAGCCCCACTCGTGCTGGGCACTGACAGCAATCCCTGTGGAGGATGGGGTGGGGGGAGAGGTGGCAGGGTACAGAGGAGGGCTGCTGCACCCTCATGACTTCCTGATCTAGGCGGGTGATGTTGGGATTTCCTGCCCTAAAGATTAGCACTAAAAATACCCCTCAAACGAGGCACTGGAAAATGGAATTGGTGGATATGGGTGGGAAGAGGTTGGTTTATTTTTGTCTTTAAAAAAAAAAACTTGTCTTTGTGTTATTGTTGAACAACAAATAAGCATTGGGAGGAGGAAAAGAGAATTCAGGAACCTGATGTTATCCCCCCAACACACACCCTGACACCTCTTATCTGCAAACTCAAACTTTCAAAATGCAGTGAGAATCCATAAGCCAAAGTGACTGCGAGAGGCAGGGACAAGCTCTCAGAGGGCCCCGAAACCTTCCCTCCACGACAATTTGCTCTTCCTTACGTAGTTTTTAAAAGCAAACGAAAATTTAAACAACAAAATTATCTATTCGCTTTATTTGTCACTGGCAGATTAGAAGCAGCGACTTAGACACCATGAGACGTGACAACAGAGGGGCCGTGAGCGAGAAGGCAGAGGTGGGGGTCCTTGCTGCCGGGGCAAAGCGGTGCCCTAAGCCCGAGGACTGGCTGCTTCGAGCTTGGTCGGGCGCCTGTGCCGCAACTACCGGGCAGAAATGGCTCGGAGACACCCAGCCTCCGGGAGGCCAGGGGCGGCCTCGTTTTCAGATTGTGGTTTTTATGAACTGAACATGGCTTAGTGGGTTTGAGAAGCAGACTTTGTCAGGTCTAGATGGTCATTAATAACTGGGGAAGGACAACTTTTATGAAGGGTCTAACGGGGCTTAGAGTGTGGACTAAGGCACTTGTGGGAGTGGGGGTAGGGGGTGATGGGACAGGTGGCCCCGCCCTGCCCACTGCCCACGAGGCCCCGCCCATCCCCATCGCCCATCCCCATCGCCCATCCCCATCGCCCGTCGCCCGGCCCGCCCTCCCGCCGACCTTCGGCCTCACACCTGCGTGTAGTGGCCGCACATCTGGCCCGGCTCGCAGGCGGCAGTGCTGAAGTTGTAGTACTCGCGCTCCACGTGCCACTGCTCCACCGCCAGCGGCACGTCCATGCCCTCGTCCGTGATGGCGAACAGGTTCTCCCCGCGCCGCCCGCGCTCCTTGTTGTGGCCCCACACGCACTGCTGAGCGTAGGCCTTGGCGAAGGCGGCCAGCTCCGCGTCCCACCGCTGCAGCAAGGAAGGCGAGGACACCTGGGCTCAGTGAAGGCGAAGGGGACCCGGGGGGCGAGGGGAGGATGCCCAGATGCCAGGAGGAGGAGAAGGTGGGGTTCCCCGGGGCCCATGGAGACCGGAGACCCTCCCCTCCTTGCTGGGTGAGTCTTGGCTGGGATCTGGCCCAGGTCTCGCTCCTGGTGGCTTCTGTGGGGGGTGAGTGCCACCACCGGTGGTGGGGTTGGCTGCACTTGGGGCCATTCACCAGCTGTGTGACTTCGGACCGATTGCCTAGTCTTTCTGAATTCTCACAGGGTGTTGGGAACAGGAAATGAGATCAGGTTTGGGACAGTGTTCTTATGGATTAATATGAATATCCCAAGTGAAACTTGGCAGCGAGGCCCCTGCCCACCTCCCAGGGCTGCCTGAGCTGCTCCGAGGACCACACATGTCCAGTGTGGAGTGACGCTCACCGAGAGCCCCAGTGGCCAAAGCATGTCCCCTCCCAAAGGCAGAGTTCTCCACGGGGGACCGCGTGTGACAGCAGGCGGACAGCACTTAGGTGAGGGGGCCTCTGAGGTTGTGTGTCCCCTGCTGGGGGCACCCCTCAGAGTGGGTGGGAAGAGGGACTAACAAGGCATCTGACCAAAGGGCTGAGGAGGGAGGCCTGGATCCCATTAAACTTGGTTCTGGCTTCTCCTGGAAACCATTGCCTGGCCGCAACTCTTGCTCCACCCTCCGGGGGCCCATCCAGCTGTGGGAGCCAGGCAGCCATAAAGCACAAGAGCTGGGGCGGCTCTAAGGAGAGGGGCCTGTGTCCACACCCACTGCCCATGCTCACACGGTTCTCCGTAGCCGCTGCCGGGGGCATGGATGGGAGCACTGGGCTGGGACAGCCCGGCTGGGTGACTTTGGGTGAATCCCTTTCCCTCTCTGGGACTTTTTGTCTCAAATCACTGGTCCCTGCGGTCCTCCCAAACTCTGGCCGTAGTGGGAGGTGGGGAGTGGTAAAGGGGCAGGGTGCTGGGGCCAAGGACCAGGGCACGGGGATGGCCTGCTGGACCGCAGGCTAGACTGTAAGCTCCTTCAGGTGGGGCAGGGACGCACCCCCACCGCCGGCACAGGGCCGGCACAGCAGGGGTCTGTCAACCACTGACGACCGAGACAGGGCCCTGCTTAAGGCAATCTCTGCTGCGGAGCTCACTCGTTTCCATTCTGACTAGATGCCTGGAGTCCCACCATTAGAGTCACTGCTCTGGGACTTAAGGCTTCTCAGCGGTCCAGAGATCCCTGGGGAGTTTTAGGAGTCACAGCACCCGCTCCCATTGGCCACATGGTCATCGTGTGAAAACAAGTCCATTCATCTACTCACTCACTCACTCAGTCAACAGTCCTGGGCACCGTGCCAGCCCTGAGGCAACAACAAGGACCAAGAAGCCCAAATTCACATCATCATAAGCCATCAATTGGCCCGCCATGTGGTGAACGACAGATACGCAAGGGGTAGTACGAGGCACCAAAGAGGGCCATTTAGCCCGACCTGAATGCAGGGAAGGAGACAGTAGCCAAGAGTTCTCAGGTGAGGCTTGGCCTGTGGAGAGGGTGACCCGAGAGAAAGGCGGGGCGTGAGCAGAGGCGTGGAGGGAGGAGCAGTGCTCTGGGGAAAGACAAGCAGTTCGGTGACTGGAGGAGAACGTGGGCAGGAGCGGAGGCTGGAGGCAGAGGGGGGCCAGGCACACAGAGGGCCTTCTCGGGGCTGGAGCCTTGTCCTGGGCTCTCGCAGCCAGTGCACGGCTTCCAGGGGGGTCAGGCCTGTGTGCTGGGCCGTCCATTCTGCCAGTGCAGCCCGAGCCTGGGAAGCAGGGAGAGGCTTAGTCCTGGGAGAACTGGAAGGCTGAGTCAGATTGTGCCAGAGAGATGGGGAGGAGGTAGGAAAACGGAACCTTCTGGTGGTAACGATGTGGAGGCTGAGGGAGAGAGAAGAGTCCACAGGAACCCCACTCGCCTCACCCCCGAGCATTCCCTTTTGTTCATCAAACACTTACTGAGAACTTACTCATTGCCAGGCACTGTTCTAAGTGCCTTCCACATATTTATTCATTTAATCCTTACAACCACGCTACAAGGGGACTGTTCTGTTATCATCCCCAATTCACAGATGAGGAGGTTTGAGGCACAGAGAGGCTTAGTAACTTGGCTGAGGCCACACAGCTAATAAATGGCAAAGTGAAAATTTGAGCCTGGCTGGCATGGCTCAGTGGCTGAGCATCGACCTATGAACCAGGAGGTCCTCATTCAATTCCTGGTCGGGGCTCATGCCTGGGTAGCAGGCTCCATCTTTCATTGTGGGGCGTGCAGGAGCCAGCCGATCAACGATTCTCTCTCATCATTGATGTTTCTCTCTCTCTCTCTCTCTCCTTTCTTCTCTGAAATCAATAAAAATATATTACACACGCAAAAAAAAGCCTTGAACCCAGGCCTTCTGGCTCCAGAGTCTCTGCATTTACCACTGCAGAGTTGCACCTGAGCCGTGTGCCCCCCAGTGCCCAGCTGCTTCCAGGAATGTTGCCCCACTGAGGCCCATCTCTGCAGGCAAAGCAGCTCCCAGCCTGTGTAGGCCCAGCCTCAGCCAGCAAGGCTGGGGGCATTAAGGTTCTGCAGATGGGGAAACTGGGACCTAACAATGAATTCTGGGGCTCAGGCAGAGTTGTTGGCAGAGCTGGTACCAGGCTCCTGGTTTGTGTCCGCAGCCTCTGGTGGCCCCGGCCAACAGGGCCTGAATGGCGGTGCTGTGTGTGTCTGTAGAGCCCCCCAAGATCTTTCTCCTGTGTCCTCCTGTCTGGCCCGCTGGGCAGGGTTGCCAGCCCCTCGTGATAGATCAGGAAACAGGCCTTTGACGGTAAAGGGGCCGCCAGAGTCACTTCGCCAGACTGGATTCGACTGTTAAAACGCCGGTCTCGGACCCCCAGGCTTGCTGCTGTGGTCCCCAGAGTGACCTTGCTCTCGGGGGCCAGTTATGGCTCCTTGGACACTGCCCATCAACCTGCCAGGCTGCCTGAGGGTGGCTGGAGGGGGTGGCCAGTCCAGGCCTCAGGGAGAGCAGGAAGGAGTGAGTTTCTCACTTCATCTCTTCTAATCCTGACGGTGCACATCCTGCCCTAACTGCCATCAGCTAACCCTCCCTCTGTGACAGGGTAACCACCCCCTGAATGGCTCTGTCTTCTGCAGGCTGTCCATGGATGTTTACTCCATCAGCACGTGTTGCCACCTGTATATAACAGTATTTTTTACATTTTCAAACTTCATGTAACTATATCCTAATATATATGTGTTTGAGATTTCTTTCTTTCTTTTTGTTAATCCTCACCGGAGGACATTTTTCCATTGATTTTTAAAGAGAGTGGAAGGGAGAGGGAGAGACAGAGAGAGAGAGAGAAACATCGATGAGAGAGAGACTTATCGACTGGTTGCCTCCCGCACGCGTCCCGACTGGGGCTGGGGATCAAGCCTGCCACTCAGGGATGTGCCCTGGACCGGAATTGAACCCGAGACCCTTCAGTCTATGGGCCAACACTCTAACCACTGAGCAACACTGGCTAGGGCTGAGGTTTCATTTTCACCCCAACTCAAAATTCCATCTGCGAGACTCAGGCCATATTGATACACGTGTGACTCCAGTTATAGCCTCGCTTCACAGAAGAGGAACTGAGGGTCCTTCCTAGGTTAAGGGACTCGCCCAAAGCCTTGGGTCGTGCAAGTGGCCGACAGAGTCCTCCCCGCCTACTTCCCGTGCTAGCCCACCTCAGCGCCGTGCTCCTGCCGCCCTGCTTCCTCTCCTCCCCTCCTTGAAAGATTGTTGTCACCAAGGTGTCCCCACCCCCACCCCAGCGACACATGCATCTTAGGAAGTGCTGGGAAAGGGCCACTGGAGGGGAGCTGGGGCGCCCAGGCCCGGCTCTGTCGGCTGGTGACCTGCCAGCCCCTGACGGCCCACCCTGTCCCCTAAGCCGGCTTCCTCGTCGCTATAATGGGGCTGCCATGGGGCCTGTGAGTCATATAATTTCAGAGACTCTGTCACTGGCAGGAGAGGTGAGCCTCTGAGACAGCTTTGGCTACGGGATGGGAGGGATTGGTGGGGGCCCTGGCCCGGCACCCCTTCAGTCCTGGCAGGTGGGCGCCTCTGACCACACTCACCATTTGCAGCATGTTGGCGGCGGGTGGGGATGCCTGGGCCCGGTAGAGGTTGTGCAGGTCCACCATCGTGCGTCTCTCCTCATCACTGAGGGCTCCGGCGGGCCCCGGGGTGGCCCCCAGCAAGAGCAGCGGCGGCAGCAGCAGCGCCAGGAGACTGCGGGAGCTGTGCATGGTGGCCAGCCCTCTCTGCCTCTGCTGTCCAGGGGTCTGGCAGCTGGATTTAAAGTCCCTCCCACACAAGCACCACCCTGGCTGGGGCGGCGGGAGGGGCTGTCTGGAGGCCCAGCCGGCTCACACAATGTCTCGGGGAGGGCTGGGTGCTTGGGTCCCGACCAGGGCTGGGTTCACTCCCAGGATGGAACTCCCCTCGGAGTCCTGGGCAAACGCCTCCCTTCTCTCAGTAACGGGGCTCAGGCCAAGCACCCTGGGAGTGCCACAGCCCATCCCTCCTGGTGGACAGGTCCTCCCGGGCCCCCAGCACAGCACCCTCTGCAGAGGTCACACCCACGGGTGCTGAGGACAGAGCGGAGGAAGGGAGCCCGCACAGACACCCCAGAGGACTGGACGAGAAGAGGAAGGCACAGGTGGCGTTGGAAGGATGGAGGAAGACAAGGTGTGTTTGGTAAAGGTTGAGCCAAACTAAGTCTGAATCTTGGTTCTGCAGCTTTGCTAGCTGTGTTTTTGGCAACTTCCTGAACTGAATCAATGACAGTAATCATACCTGCCTCGCAGGGCTGGCAGCAGGGTTAAATGAGATCGAATACGCGTAAAGCACCCAGTGCGGTATCTGGCACGTAGTAGGCCCTCCGTAACAGTAGACAACCACCACCCGCACGGCAGGAGCCTGGCCGGCTCCCAGCCCCAGGGGGAGGCAGACGCTTGCTTACTGGCGGAGGGACTGGCTGCGTCCCTCTCCAGCTGGGTCCTGTCGCAGGGCTTGTCTGTGGATAGGATGCCAGCTCCCATGTGCTCTCTGAGAACGCTGGTGCTTGAGGTGCGCCTTTGGAAGTGGGGTGCTGGGGTTACTCCTGCTCGGAATATGTAGAAAATAGAATATGTTCATTTTTCAAATCCAGAGAGCAGAAACGCAGTGGGGTGATGAGCTGATGAGCAGGGGCTCTGAGGGGAGGGTATTGGAGGGAAGGAGGCCCCGTGGGCAAACGCTTGGACGAGGCGACCATGCAGGGCGGGGCTGAGGTCTTGGCCTTCATGAGGCAGGCAGCTGGAACCAGTGCTGTGGAGCTCAGCTGGGATCCGCGAAGCCTGCACGCTCAGTGAATGGGGACCAGGAAGAAGTCTGTTTACTGGCTTTGGAAGATGCAATAAAACCTGTCACTGCTCAGGTCTCTGAGTAAAAACAAAAGCAAAAACAAAATCATATGATTCAACCACAAAAAGACGATTAGAACTAATTAAAAAGTTCAGCAAAGTCTCATAATACAAAACCAACCCACAAAAGAAGTTGTGTTTCTATACACAGCAATGAACACTCCAAAAAGAAAATTAAGAAAATAGTTCCAGCCCTGGCCGGATAGCTCAGCTGGTTAGAGCGTCGTCCTGATACACCAAGTTTGTGGGTTTGATCCCCGGGTCAGGGCACAACTAAAGAACACATAAGTAAGTGAAACAACAAATCAATGTTTCTCTTTCTTATTCTCCCTCTCTCTAAAAATCAATTTTAAAAAGCAATTGGAAGTTTGAAGAAATATATTATTTTTAAAAAAGAAAATGATTTCATTTTTAATAGCAATAAAAAGAGTGAAATACTTAGGCATAAACTTAACTAAGGAGGCAAAAGACTCCTACATGAAAAACTACAAAGACATGACCGACTGGTGTGGCTCAGCAGTTAAGCGTCAACCCATGAGCCAAGAGGTCACTGGTTCAATTCCCGGTCAGGACACATGCCTGGGTTGCAGCTTTAGCCACAGTAGGGGCGTGTAAGAGGCAGCCGATGGGCGATGTTTCTCTCTCATTGATGTTTCTATCTCTATCCCTCTCCCTTTCTCTCTCTCTCTCTCTCTCTCTCTCTCTCTCTCTCTCTCTCTCTCTCTGTTTCTCTCCCCCTCTCTTTCACTCTCTCTAAAAATCAATGGAAAAAATATCCTCAGGGGAGGATTAACAACAACAAAAAAGGTTCTCGATATGGATGGTGGTGATGATTGCACAACAATGTGAATGGATTTAATGCCACTGAACTGTTCACAGAAGATGGTTAAAATATTAAACTTTATGTTTTGTACATTTTACAGCAACACTAATAATAACTTGGGGATTCTTAAATTGGTCCATAGTAGGGCGAATTGAGTAGTGGTAGGGGGTAGTTTCAGCAGAAACAAAGGCAAAATCATATCCGGAGGGAGCTTTCACAACTCAGCTTGGGCCATCCATGAGGGGAAAAAATCCCCAGCTTTAGCTCACAGTCAGAAATTATAAAAACACATGAGGAACTGAGCTACCATGAGCAATGGCATACAACACAAACAGGAGGATTTCTGTCTCCAAAATTTGAGTAATAGAACAATCTAGAAGATTTTCAGATAACTATATTTAAAACCAGAGGCCTGGTGCACAGATTCATGCACTGGTGGGGTCCCTTGGCCTGGCCTGCACTCTCTCACAATCCGGGGCCCCTTGGGGATGCTGGACTGCTGGTTTCGGCCAGATCCCGCAGGCCAGGCTGAGGGACCCCACCGGTGCATGAATCCATGCACCGGGCCTCTAGAATGCATATAAGATCTTTGGCTAATTTCTTTCCACCCTCCTTTTCCTCCCTCCCCTCTGAGATTCATCATTCTGTTCCATGTTTCCATGCCTGTGCATTGAGCATCTGCCCCCTGGTGGTCAGTGTGTGTCATAGCTACCGGTCGAATGGTCAATGGTTGGCCGGTCACTTAGGCTTTTATATGTATAGATGATTAAGGAAATACATGGGTAGCTGAAAAAGGGAGAAGAAAGATTCAGGAGGCAGAGTGTAGCATAGCATGGGGGCGAATTAGAAGAGTGCAGGAAAATGGGTTGGTCTGCGGGGAAGAGGAGAAGATACTGGGGAACATCAGAGTGCAGGAGAGAAGACTAAGAGAAAGCAGGTTAGACCTACAGCAGCTCGCTGGGCAGCTTCCCAGGGCGTTCGGCCGCTGAAGCTGTGAGATGGAGATCTTTCTCTGTGGACAAGAGAACGTGGTGAGTCCCTGAAGCTTGGTCTTGAGGATGAAATAGGAAGACTTAGAAGGAAACATGGACATCACAGGAGTTAAGGTGCTGAAGGCCTGGCCTGGGAGGTGCTGGACTCAGCGGGGGGAGGGACAGGGTGCTCAGAAGCCACTGGGCAGAGCAGACACTGGTGCTGCAGGCTGCCCTGGTGCCACCCTCATGCCTTGCCTGGCTTCTCTGCAGCAGAGGGAAATAGCTTTATAAGCCGAGCACAACGGGCAGCATTCGTTCATTCACTCATTCACTCATTCACTCATTCACTCTCTCAGCAAAGGGTTACAGAGCCGGGTGCTGAGCTGCTGAGTGCGACAGCCCAGTTCTTGCTGCCATGAAGCAGGAGGCCGCACGGCATATAGTGCTGTGGATAAGAGCGTGGGGCTTACCAGCGGGGTGGCCTTGGGCAAGTTATTTCCCTGCTTGCTAGCCTCAGTTTCCTCACCTGTAAAGTGGGCTTAGAACAGAACTTATCTCGTAGGAGTGAAAGCATGAAATGAGTTAGTACATGGATAGGGCGTGGGATGGTGCCTGGCACATACCGAGTGCTCATGGAGTTAGCCAGTGGAATGTGTTCATATCATTATGATGGGGGAAGAGCTTACGGGGCCCCAGGTTGTCGCAGAGGCTGAAGCTGGAGGGGAGGACACACCCGTGGGAGGCAGGATGCTGGTGTGGGGGCGCATGGCTGTGGACGGGGGAGGCAGAGGAGGAGGAGCCTGGTTTGCATGACAGGGAAGGTGAGTTGGGAACAAAGACTAGTTAAGACCAGAGCCTGCGAGAGTGTTTGGGGACCAGGGGTGTGCAGCCAGAGAGCCCCGCTCGGCCTGGGCACCTTCCCTCGCCCCGGGGGCAACTCCTCATGACAGCCCCCAGGTGGGCCTTGCAATCCCCACACACGCAAGAGGTGAAGTGATTTCCCCAGCGTTGTGGTGAGGGGAGCAGTGGCAAGGGGTGGGGCCAGAGCCTGACCTGCCCCTGCAGAGAGGGCAGTTGAAGGCGAGCCCACAGGGAGGAGAGGAATGGAAGACAGGCAGGGGAGGGGAGAGGGAGCAAGAGACGACAAAACCGGGCACATGGGGCCTGGCTGTGGCTGACATCTACTGATCTGCACGTTTTCTGACTCAGAGGAATATGTATTTTATTTTGAATTTAGACCACGTTCCACTTGAACAGCAGAACTCCGCCATAAACACTGACGGCAACGGGGGGAATTCCACCTCTGTGCTGGCTTCTAGCCTTTGAGCAGGTGCCTCTCTCTCCTGCCAGACGATGGTCACTGCTCTCAGCACAGCAGGTGTGGGAACTAACAGTGAGCACCGAGAAACCCTTCAGCAAGCTGACATGGGTGTTTCCATCAATCTGTGAAGGAAAAACTGGGCCTTTTTGCCCTACCTGCGCTTTGCTCAGTGGATAGAGCATTGGCCTGCAGACTGAAGGGTCCTGGGCTCGATTCTGGTCAAGGGCATGTGCCTGGGTTGTGGGCTCAGTAGGGGGCGTGCAGGAGGCAGCCGATTAATGATTCTCTCTCATCATTGATGTTTCTCTCTCTCCCTCTCCCTTCCTCTCTGAAATCAATAAAAATGTATTTTTTTTAAAAAAACTGGGCCTTTTAAAATCTGCTATTTCATTTTTCTAAGAATCAATTTTTAAACTTTTTATTTTGAAATAACTAGACTCATGGAGAGTCACAAAAATAACACATCGAGTCCAAGGAACCCTTTACCCAGCTTCCCCCCAATGGTGACGCCTAATAGAACTCTGGCACAATATCAAACAGGAAAACTGACATTGTTTTCTGTTCACTGATATCAGACCTCAATGAGATTCCACTCACCTGTGTGCACATATACGTATGTGTGTGTGTGGTTCTGTGCCATTTGTTGTGTGTGTGTGTGTATATATATATATATATATATATATATTTGATTTTTACAGAGAGGAAGGGAGAGGGATAGAGAGTTAGAAACATCGATGAGAGAGAAACATCGATCAGCTGCTTCCTGCACATCTCCTATTGGGGATGTGCCCGCAACCAAGGTACATGCCCTTGACCAGAATCGAACCTGGGACCCTTTAGTACGCAGGCCGATGCTCTATCCACTGAGCCAAACCAGTTAGGGCAGTTCTGTGCCATTTGATCTCAGATTTGCGTTGTCATCATGAAATCTAAGATACAGAACTTAGAGAGACTCTCTCCTGCTAGCCTTTTATTATCAGACCCCCACCCCTAACCCTGTCCCCGCAACCACTACTCTGTTCTGCATCCTGTACTTTCATCATTTCAGAAATAGCTTATAAATGACCCACCCTCAGTTGGTGGAGTATTGTCTCATTCACCAAAAGGGCACACACCTAGGTTGTAGGTTTGATCCCCGGTCAGGAAGCATACAGAGGCAACTGATCAATACTTCTTTCCCATCTCTCTCTCTCTCTGTCTCTCTGTCTCTCTCTCTTCCCCCCTTCCTCTCTCTAAAATCAATAAAAACATATTCTTAAGTGAAGATTTACAAAAAAAGAGAATATGATTCTATAAATGGAATCGTACAGCATGCACCCTTTGGAGGCTGGCTTGTTCTCTAAGCATAAACGCCCTTGGATCCATCCAGGTCACTGCGTGTATCAATAACTCACTCGTTTATATGGCGGAATAGTATCCCACGGTATAGACGTGTACCACGGTTTGTTTAGCCACTCACCGGCTGAAGGACATTTGGGTTGTTTCCAGTTTGTGTTGTTAGGATAAAGCTGCTGTGAACATTGTGGATGGATTTTTGTGTGAACGTGGGTTTTTCTTCCTCTGAGACAAACGCTGAGAATTCGACGCGGGGTCCCGTGGTGAACTGCAGACT